CACAATCGTTCATTGTGAACGGTTTACCACGTTTTCATGAGACTCAAGACGATTTTGCTGATTTCGTCTCCCTACCACATTCAATACTCCTGCATCACCGATGAGCTCATGTGCTATTAGCGTTAGCATATAGTACAGACACCAATTATTCTGAAACAGCACGGACCATTTCCAAGAACTTGTTCGAAGGCACAATGGGAATTTAGAACATGTGGGGCACAATGCTAGCGACTAATTCCAGAAAATGCCTCGCCACCACATTACCCAAAGGCTCTGAAAGTGTTGCTCCTGCTGCAACTCACCCTTTAGCACCAGTGAGCATTTTTCCGTTGCGAAACAAATGCCTCCTCCCTGCATCAAATTGTACAGCCTGACAGTCAGGCAGCCAGTGCTCGCTGCGACAAACAACTGCCTATGGTTCAGACTGATATAGCCCGATGAACCTGGTGCTAAGCGCGTTGGATGGCCAAGCCTTTGGCCTAGAATAGCATAGCCCCATAGACCTGGCGCTTTGGGCTGTAACTGGTCTAGCCCATGGCAAAGGCTGGCAGAGCCTTGCCTATGGCCTAAAATGATCTAGTGTTGTAGGCCTCGCGCATTGTGGTGACATCCACCACCACAACTTCTTCCCAGCACGTTCAATACTCTTGCATCACCGATTAGCTCATGGGTTATTGGCATTCGCTTATGGTATAAGTACCACTGACCCTGAAACAGTACGGGCCATTTCCAAGAACTTGTTCGCCTTTATGTGTTTCCCTTATATCGCGTAAATGTCGTCTTATGATTGCTTATTAAGGACTTTTAAGGAGGGGAGGTGTAATCGTGGTCACTCGTTGTCACACTCGCAATTCACACTCAACGTCGTCTTCATGAATTCCGTTGTGGCAGTAATGTGAAACAAATGTCTCCAGGGATGTCGTTTTACATGTCGGACTGTCACGAGCGACGCGTTTGCTGACATCACTAAACTCTACTGTGCTTCTTCGTATTGTAGGGTTTAAGGCACCACATTACCATCGTGTGGACTGGTCGTTTCTAAGAGGTCCGGGTTCAATTCCCCCCCCCCCCCACGGCTTTGGACACCTGAGTGCTGCGTTCCTTGTATCAATCTGCCCAGCAGGCTGCATGGCTCTCCTTTTCCTGAGGTCACCACTCGCTGCCCTTTGCTGTTCAGGCTTTGGGTACTGTTCATCAGTCATTCTACCCGTAATGGCTAGCACCTCCTAAAGCACCGATTTAGGCACTCCGCACCGCAACTGCAGTGAAAAACGTTGTTTCCGCGCCAGCACCAATCGTTTATTATATGCAGTGACTGCCTCATCGCCATCCTGTAGGACCTCTTTCAACATTTTTTTTACGTTCACCCTCACCTCGCAAAAATCGCCACCATTTTGAAGGGAGGAGCGGCCCGTTTGCACGACGCATGAAACAAAGAACTTATGTTATTATTTTGATTTTACCAATCATGAAAACTCAAATAAGTCGACCATGACATGAAACGCAATCAGAAAGCTATTGCATGGAAGCGATGTCCCGAACCGCCACGTCTGATCCACGTCTGGCCCAACGGAAAACAAGTAAATACAGAAAACAAACCTCAGCAAAGAATATAGTCATATGAAGAACTTGCAGTCGATCATTGAAAACGTGACACGCATTCAGTTATGACCACTCCTTGTTTGATACAGTTAAGTATGAAGCTTATGACTCAGACTGACATAGCTGGATAGGCCTGGCTCTAAAAGCGTTGGATGGCCAAGCCTATGGCCTATAATAGCATAGCCTGAAGGACCTGGTGCTTTGAGGGGTGGATGGCCTAGCCTATGGCCTGAAGTGACATAGTGTTGTAGGCCTCGCGCGCTGGGGTGACAACCACCACCACCACCACCAGAACTCTTGATCTTTTCGAATTAAAGTATAGGATTTTTTGAAAAATTGTATCAGAACCTCTGTAATTTTTTCTCATGGGTTGGGCTTCCTGGGAAAGCAAATTAGGCTCTCACATTATCAGTTAAAATTGTAATGATGTTTTCGCCAAGTGTGCACAGGTGAATGTTATTTTTAACTGAAAACTGGGGATTTTCGTAAATTCAATTATATATTAAGAATTATACAATATCCTGATATCGGTTGGTATATTGCAGACAATATGGGATTGATTCAATGTCCATATTGACCATTCCTATCTATGTACTANCCCGAGATTGGTTCCCTGGGGGGGGGAATACATTCTGGATTACAATCATACAAAATAAAAAGCAAGATAAAGTGTTATGCACGACCTTGTGGTGTTGTAGGGATATATTTTCTAATATTCCAATTATATATATACTAGCGGCCTGCGGCCGCTACGCTGACCGTCTAATAGTTGGAAATTTGAACCGTCTATTATGAGCATAACGTCTTCTTGACAATCCTCTGTTCACCTCATTTCCCATTCAGAATTGAACCGCTTTATCACATGTATACACTTATAGCTTACAGTACACAGGGAGATTCTGTTCCTAAACACCATCATCACGATATTCCAGCCGATTGCCACAATCGTTCATTGTGAACGGTTTACCACGTTTTCATGAGACTCAAGACGATTTTGCTGATTTCGTCTCCCTACCACATTCAATACTCCTGCATCACCGATATCATCACGATATTCCAGCCGATTGCCACAATCGTTCATTGTGAACGGTTTACCACGTTTTCATGAGACTCAAGACGACTTTGTTGATTTCGTCTCCCTACCACATTCAATACTCCTGCATCACCGATTAGCTCATGTGCTATTAGCGTTAGCATATAGTACAGACACCAATTATTCTGAAACAGTACGGACCATTTCCAAGAACTTGTTCGAAGGCACAATGGGAATTTAGAACATGTGGGGCACAATGCTAGCGACTAATTTAAGAAAATGCCTCGCCACCACGTTACCCAAAGGCTCTGGAAGTGTTGCTCTTGCTGCAAACTCACCCTTTAGCACCAGTGAGCACTTTTCCATTGAGAAACAAATGCCTCCTCCCTGCATCAAATTGTACAGCCTGACAGTCAGGCAGCCAGTGCTCGTTGCGACAAACAACTGCCTATGGTTCAGACTGATATAGCCCGATGAACCTGGTGCTAAAGCGCGTTGGATGGCCAAGCCTTTGGCCTAGAATAGCATAGCCCCATAGACCTGGCGCTTTGGGCTGTAACTGGTCTAGCCCATGGCAAAGGCTGGCAGAGCCTTACCTATGGCCTAAAATGATCTAGTGTTGTAGGCCTCGCGCATTGTGGTGACATCCACCACCACAACTTCTTCCCAGCACGTTCAATACTCTTGCATCACCGATTAGCTCATGGGTTATTAGCATTCGCTTATGGTATAGGTACCACTGACCCTGAAACAGTACGGGCCATTTCCAAGAACTTGTTCGCCTTTACACAAAGGGAATATAGCGCATTTACAGCAGAATACTAACGAATAATTCCTGAAAATTCCTCCCCTCCACATTAGCACCAGTGAGCAACAGTGTGAGCGTTAAGTGTGAGTTGCAGCAGAAGTACTTTTCCGTTGTGGCAGTAATGTGAAACAAATGTCTCCTCCCTACAGCAAAATGTACAGCCTGACAGTGCTCGCTGCGCAAACGACTGTAGTGATTTGAGATGACACGAAGAAGCATAACATCCCAAATTCCGTGGTGTAATGGTAGCACACCTGACCAGCAAAGCAAGAGGTCCGGGGTTCAATTCCCCCCCCCCCCCACGGCTTTGGACACCTGAGTGCTGCGTTCCTTGTATCAATCTGCCCAGCAGGCTGCATGGCTCTCCTATTCCCGAGGTCAGCACTCGCTGCCCTTTGCTGTTCAGGCTTTGGGTACTGTTCATCAGTCATTCTAGCCGTAATGGCTAGCACCTCCTAAAGCACCGATTTAGGCACTCCGCACCGCAGTTGCAGTGAAAAACGTTGTTTCCGCGCCAGCACCAATCGTTTATTATATGCAGTGACTGCCTCATCGCCATCCTGTAGGACCTCTTTCAGCATTTTTTTTACGTTCACCCTCACCTCGCAAAAATCGCCAATTTTTTTAAGGGAGGAGCGGCCCGTTTGCTCGACGCATGAAACAAAGAACTTGTTATTATTTTGATTTTACCAATCATGAGAACTCAAATAAGTCGACTATGACATGAAACGCAATCAAAAAGCTATTGCATGGAAGCGATGTCCCGAACCGCCACGTCTGATCCACGTCTGGTCCAACGGAAAACAAATAAATACGGAAAACAAACACCTCAGCAAAGAATATAGTCATATGAAGAACTTGCGGTCGATCATTGAAAACGTGACACGCATTCAGTTATGACCACTCCTTGTTTGATACAGTTAAGTATTAAGCTTATGGCTCAGACTGACATAGCTGGATAGGCCTGGCGCTAAAAGCGTTGGATGGCCAAGCCTATGGCCTATGATAGCATAGCCTGAAGGACCTGGTGCTTTGAGGGGTGGATGGCCTAGCCTATGGCCTGAAGTGACATAGTGTTGTAGGCCTCGCGCGCTGGGGTGACAACCACCACCACCACCAGAACTCTCGATCTTTTCGAATTAAAGTATAGGATTTTTTGAAAAATTGTATCAGAACCTCTGTAATTTTTTCTCATGGGTTGGGCTTTCTGGGAAAGCAAATTAGGCTCTCACATTATCAGTTAAAATTGTAATGAGATCTTTTCGAATTAAAGTATAGGATTTTTTGAAAAATTGTATCAGAACCTCTGTAATTTTTTCTCATGGGTTGGGCTTCCTGGGAAAGCAAATTAGGCTCTCACATTATCAGTTAAAATTGTAATGATGTTTTCGCCAAGTGTGCACAGGTGAATGTTATTTTTAACTGAAAACTGGGGATTTTCGTAAATTCAATTATATATTAAGAATTATACAATATCCTGATATCGGTTGGTATATTGCAGACAATATGGGATTGATTCAATGTCCATATTGACCATTCCTATCTATGTACTACAAGCTAACGTTTGTTTTTCCACCGGAGCCCTTCACGGCTTGCTTTTTCGAACCCGACCCGATCGGCCTTATTCGAATCGCGGCTCCACCCGACCCGAAACTCGTGGAGCCGAGCTTTACGGACCCGACTCACGGGTCGGGTTCGAAAGCGGGCTGCGGTCTGGGCCCTGTCATGCCGGCCCGCAGCCCGCTTAGGCCTCTGAGTCCGAGGACTCGAAGTCTCTGGATACGTCTTCCTTCTTAGCGACTCTGCTGACTCCACGAAACCCTCCAGCTATCCCATGACGGAATGAGGTGTATTTTTTGCCAAAAGCTCTAAGCGGTTGAAGAATTTCCTGGGAGAGTATCGCAAAAGCGGACGTGGGTTATCCTTTGAACTAACGGCTCGACGGGCAGGCTAGGCGCCTCATCAAGCCAGGTTATCTCTTCTAGGCGTAAGACATGTACGGTCTTTCAGATACCTCATCCAATGGCCTGATGGAACTCAGCTGAACTTAGTATATAGAGAAATTTTTTTATGAATTTATGAAAGTGGGAGTGAGTGGGACGCACCAAGCAAAATTGATCCAAAATAAAGCTGTTCTAAATTCCGGTGACGTGTTTCATTTGAACGTCACGGAACAGAAGTCAATTAACATAAAAAACGAAGACATGAATGTTTCACTGGTAGTAGCTAGTTCTCTTGAATTCTGCTTGGAAAGAAAGGGACATTCTTGCTTATCTGGAAACCTGCAACATAGCATATTCTCCTTTTTGTAAGATCATCCACTGCACGTAAACGAGGGAAGAGTCAGCTGGAATATTTTGTAAAAAGGTACAATACATTTTTGTAAACGCAAGATAATGATTCCGTCGCCGTTAATTTTGCACCAGCACGACAGCATGACTACTGTCCCTCTACGATGACCATTCTTTGTTTTCATAATCGCTTTGTGTAATGATTGGTGCTGGGAGACAGCAGCAAATGCCTACATGTCTGATATCCATTTCATATCTGTAAATAGTATATCTGGAGGCCAAATGTTTCAGGCAATATATCCCATTTTCAGAGGTGCTACGGCGTTCGTATCAGGAAAGGGTCTTCAGGATTCATTTTCTCCCATCTTCATTTTAATCCATGAAAGGAACCTATTGGAAAAGGACACAATAGGACCAGCATATAGCAGCAACAGATGGGAAAAATAAAGACAGAAATATGAGGTAGGAAGGACAGGGAAAGAAACGACACCTCACCGATTCACTTTGGTGAAAATGCTGTATTGGCCTGGGCGTCTTGAAGAGCACTCAATTTCTTCGAAAAAGTTACTCACGATCCCAACTACCTGGCATGAATTTCCCTTAGAGCAGAAGATCATGGGATTCCCGGAATCTCCACGGCATACCGTTCGATGTTCTGAGAACCCACTCTTATTAGGGATAGTCCATTTTACGAAGATGTGGAAAGGAACGTCTGGTGTAAGCTTACCTTCAAGAGGAGTCGCATTGTCATGACCCGCACAGAACATGTTAGAGGTAAGGGAATGGGTGAGAGTGTGGTCCCCTGTCATATTTATTGTGTTCTGGCGACAATTGGCATTTGATATTATAGGCAGTTCCATTTCCATCAACACTGCAGAACGTTTTTCTAATATGTTAGAACCCCAACTAGCTACCTGCGAATACACAATATGAAATTGCATGCATCAATGGCAAAAAACATAAGAATAAAATTTCCAGAAATCTAAAACTAAATCTAACCTTTCCTCGATTTTCTACTTCGATATTTGTCTCTGATGGAAGACATACCAACTGAACTCGCAAGGTCAACACAGCTGGTTCCGTCAGTTTCAAAAGAGCAATGTCGGAGTCATAGTTCTGAAAGTTGAAATCCTCATGAACGACAATCTTAGACACCTGAAAAGGGAGCATAATCGTTAATTTGATCTAAAGCATACATTCAGTGCAAAAACGAACGGGAACTTATGCGACACGTTACCTGTCTGATCTGGACGAATTCGTCATCCATTGAGTTGTTTTGATGATATTTTCCGAGATATACAAGTAATTCCCACTCCTTCCGAGTTCTTGGAGAACCGTCAACAACGGCGCAATGAGCTGCGGTGAGCACCCATTGCTTCTGAATGAGCGCCCCTCCGCAGATGATGTGTTTCTTCTCCATGTCATAAATTGTTGCTGGCCATATATAGTTCCGATTGTCCAAAGGCTTCCCGCCTTCCGGCAACACTCGCTGCACACTCTTTCCACATTCTAGGGGTGCAGGGCAGAGCTCTTTGTCGAATCGAGAAGTGTTTTAGAGCGATCTTGTCAGGAAGAAATGATAATAATCTGACCAGGTTCACAAAAAGGACTTTTTCCACCCCATTCTCCATTCTCTCCACATATGCGAATAACACCTGGAGACTCATATACCATGAGGAACGTGAGTATAAAGTGGTACGAAGGCTAGCGTACAAAGGGTAAAAATCCCGAGCGACATGTCAAGAATGGGAGACAGAGAAGTTCATGTGATGGTCTTAGAATCACGAATGATGAAATATATAAAGGAAGACCAGAAATGCATGCATTTATTCACTTGTAATCAGCGTGTGCTCCTGTGATTTCTTCTAGTATCCTTACCCTCTCGGGCAAGAGATCTCCAAAGTTCCGTGTTCTATTCCCATGAGTTGCCCACACCCTATTATATGGTTTCCACCTGCAAGAGAGGCGCAATCGAACCTAAATAATGGATTTCGTTATCATGTTCATAAAATTTGAAATTTCAGGAAGACTCATGAAGGGCTACATTTATGTCATGGACTCTATAGTAACTTTTGCTGGTTGGGTAGCCTGTATCTGGGATTCCTGCAGGACTCGTCGTATGCGCAGGGTGTAAACTTTTTCTGAAGATGGTGAGTATCTTTAGGTAACGGCTATTGCTTCACTGTGACTGCTTCTAGGGCCCTTAAACGGGGAGAACTGTAAGCAGTAGTCTCTACCTGTTCACTGGACGGTTGACGTTTAGGTAAGTAGTTTAGTCTTCTCTCTTCTTTCCAAAGGGAATATGCTATTCAATCGGCACGTGTACCAGTGGGAAGCCAGTGCCAGAGTCCTTGCAAAAGAGAGGATCACCAGGTTTCCCGCACCAGGGCGAGGAGAAGGAGACGCAAATGGAATTCAACGGGAGGGAACTGCCTTTAGTGAATCTCTCCTCGCATATGCTGGAATTCGTGATCGAGGCTTGGTATGTCACCGGTTTCCCAATATCCGATGCATTATCTATTGTGAAAATATTCCACCAAATTCACCAAGAATATTTCCGAAACGAAGATCATCCGGTGATTCCACGAGCAACTACAACTTCTGACCTCCGTTGTGAGAAATGAGCTCGCACTGGGAAAGGCTGTGGATGTCGTGACTCTGAAGGCACAGAATGCATGCACCATCATCTACTTTCACTGGTCCCTCGAGACTCAGGATCATGAAGTCATTGTCGAGAGTCTCTTGACTAAAATTGGCGTGAATGAAGTAGGTGCTAATGTTATGGTGAATGGAACCATCAATGACCTGAACTGACAGCATCTCGATGTTGCTCTGTCTGAAAAGTAAGTACAAGGTTGAAACTTCATTGGTGGCCCAAAAAAAGGGCACTCTTTTCAACGCGGGTTTTTGCTGTAATGCTTTCAAAGATTTTTTTCTGGTTGCATGTAGTGAAAATAATAAATATTCAGGTACAAAATGCTTTTTTTCAGACTTGAAATATCTTGAGGGATGACATAGAAAACATTGGTTGAATTTAGGTAACCAAAAATCGGCGTTGCACTCACCACCTCGACCAAGCATTCACTCGACGTCCCTGCACTCACGAGAAGAGGAAGGGAAACGCTGACCTTACCAGACGTCGCGAGACTGATTGGATGTGCCTGCTACCGTAAGCTGTCGGTGAGCGCAACGCCAATTTTTAGTAACCGATATTCACAATTTTTTATAGGTCATCCTATAAGATATTTCAAGTCTGATGAAAGCATTTTGTAGCTGAATCTTCCTTCTTCCCGTTGCATTCAACCAAAAAAAATATCCTTGAAAGCATCACACCGAAAATGCGCGTTGAAAAGATTGCTCTTTTTGGGGGCCACCCTGTAGAATATGATTCATACTCAGTCTTTGAATGTCTGCGAAGGATTTTGAAGGGTGTATATGCCCTTGGAAAAAAGGGCCTTGGAGTACTGGCGCAATGGGAGCTACAGTGCTTATCGAATGAATTCACCCCCCTCTTACTATGGGCTCCTATGACTCGCCATGCTTTTCTATGACGCATCTGAGGATGCTGTAACTGCTAATAACAACTAATCAAGGTAGATGTCGCCCACGTCGCTATGTCCTGCATTCTAAGCGGTTGGGGAAAGTGTATTCATCCATTCTGAGTTTTCCATTTAAGTCTCGCTTAGTCTTCCAACGAAATAAATCGTATTAATTTATGAAAGACTCTTTTAGGGAGATAATGACATGCCCCTAACTTCTTTCTCTCATTCAATTTGATCACATTAATGATACCCATTGAATAACGAAGGATTTCATAATCATTATTTAGAATCAGAGGAGGGAAAATACAACTGTGCTCTGAGTACTGTGTCCAATAAAAAGCATTTTCAACTTTTCTCNATTTATTCTAGTATCCTTACCCTCTCGGGCAAGAGATCTCCAACGTTCCGTGTTCTATTCCCATGAGTTGCCCACACCCTATTATATGGTTTCCACCTGCAAGAGAGGCGCAATCGAACCTAAATAATGGATTTCGTTATCATGTTCATAAAATTTGAAATTTCAGGAAGACTCATGAAGGGCTACATTTATGTCATGGACTCTATAGTAACTTTTGCTGGTTGGGTAGCCTGTATCTGGGATTCCTGCAGGACTCGTCGTATGCGCAGGGTGTAAACTTTTTCTGAAGATGGTCTCATAGAAATCCATTGCCGATAACGAAGTGACACTGACGAAGATCCCGGGAATTTGCCCCTCTTGACATTCGTCATCAGAGATGGACAAGTGACCTGCCAACTGCAAATCCATTCATCAAATCAGACCTCTCTTCTTTCCAAAGGGAAGATGCTATTCAATCGGAACGTGTACCAGTGGGGAGCCAATGCCAGAGTCCTTGCAAAAGAGAGGAGCACCAGGTTTCCCGCACCAGGGCGAGGAGAAGGAGACGCAAATGGAATTCAACGGGAGGGAACTACCTTTAGTGAATCTCTCCTCGCATATGCTGGAATTCGTGATCGAGGCTTGGTATGTCACCGGTTTTCCAATATCCGATGCATTATCTATTGTGAAAATATTCCACCAAATTCACCAAGAATATTTTCGAAACGAAGATCATCCGGTGATTCCACGAGCAACTACAACTTCTAACCTCTGTTGTGAGAAATGAGCTCGCACTGGGAAAGGCTGTGGATGTCGTGACTCTGAAGGCACAGAATGCATGCACCATCATCTACTATCACTGGTCCCTCGAGACTCAGGATCATCAAGTCATTGTCGAGAGTCTCTTGACTAAAATTGGCGTGAATGAAGTAGGTGCTAATGTTATGGTGAATGGAACCATCACTGACCTGAACTGACAGCATCTCGATGTTGCTCTGTCTGAAAAGTAAGTACAAGGTTGAAACTTCATATTCCACGCATATACAGGGTGGCCCAAAAAAAGGGTACTCTTTTCAACGCGGGTTTTTGCTGTAATGCTTTCAAAGATTTTTTTCTGGTTGCATGTAGTGGAAATAATAAATATTCAGGTACAAAATGCTTTTTTTCAGACTTGAAATATCTTGAGGGATGACATAGAAAACATTGGTTGAATTTAGGTAACCAAAAATCGGCGTTGCACTCACGAACTCGACCAAGCATTCACTCGACGTCCCTGCACTCACGAGAAGAGGAAGGGAAACGCTGACCTTAGTAGACGTCGCGAGACTGATTGGATGTGCCTGCTACCGTATGCTGTCGGTGAGCGCAACGCCAATTTTTAGCAACCGATATTCACAATTTTTTCTAGGTCATCCTATAAGATATTTCAAGTCTGATAAAAGCATTTTGTAGCTGAATCTTCCTTCTTCCCGTTGCATTCAACCAAAAAAATATCCTTGAAAGCATCACACCGAAAATGCGCGTTGAAAAGATTGCTCTTTTTGGGGGCCACCCTGTAGAAGATGATTCATACTCAGTCTTTGAATGTCTGCGAAGGATTTTGAAGGGTGTATATGACCTTGGAAAAAAGGGCCTTGGAGTACTGGCGCAATGGGAGCTAGTTCAAATGAGACCTGCTTAAATAGTGAATTCATGGATTATAATTTAGGACGTTCATTTACTGCTTCGGGAATGTCGTGACTGGTATTGGTACCTCTTTTCACTGAGTCGTATTTCTAAATTGTGGATCAATTTTTTGGGGCCTAAATTTTTCCATTGGTACCAACATTTTGACAGTTGAAGTTTCCGGAACGTCTAGATATCATCTTTCCTATGAAATGGTTGCTCATTTTAGAAACAACTGAATTCATCAAGGATTGGTAACATCTAATAACAGCACCAAACATATCGCAAAAAAGCGAAGAAAGCCTACTCGGCGAACAAAAAGCAGGAAGCTGCAGTGGAGACGAAACTCCGCTCGACGAGAGCCCCACCGCACTCGATACGCCTATTGGAGTCCACGATGACAACGCTCCAACTGAGTATTCGCAGGCCAGATGCTTCAGCTGTGTGGTTGGCCTCGATGCAGCATGTCTCATTTGTCAGCTTCGACGTCGGGAGGGCTATTTTCAAATGAATCAACCGAAGTGAATGTAAAGAGCTTGACGTTATTAGAGAATGGTGAATGTCACCATCACATCAATTATTTGAACTTACAAGAAGTTCTTAATTAGAAAGAGATCATGTGTTTATTATGATTTTGTTCTTGGTGATCCTAATCCAAAACAGCTGTTAACCCATAGAATAATGTTCCGAGCCTATGTTTATGCAGTTCATGAGCATTTAAAAGCATTTTCCCGTTCATCTCTAGCCATTTCACCAGCAAATTATTTAACAATAACACCAGGAATTTTATTTTTTCCACTTGCACCTTGTCGCTGACTGAAGGACCAGCCCAAGATGTTAGGCATGACGATTCTTCACAAGGACCTTTACCTTTGTGCCCCAGAATTGCTTTTACTTATCGCAGACTCGCCATAGCACTTGGCAATTTACAACTGGGAATTTTGCATTGTTTTTATCTCAAGAACAGACGACTGCTTCCAGTTAAATGTTGTTTTATGTCAATTTGGACTTGTTTCAGCTTACCGCATTTCCTCTCAGACGAATCAGTTCTTCAGTTTGTAAATCAGTGTTTCAACAATTTCCCCCCACATTTCGTTCAACCAACACCAGGAAATTCTTGCAAAATTGTTGCCCTACCACATCCTTTCGCAAGTAAAAGCACTTCATTGTCAGACAGAAGAACTCTGGCTCAATATTGGTGCGCTCAAAGAGCCCAACAAAACTCTCCCCGATACTCTTCATGCTCAAAAACTAAATTCTAATTGCCTTTATGTTATCATACATAGAATAAAGTGAGGGGAAAACTAACAAAATTATAGGACGTCAAATGGATGCAAACAATTCGTTGCACAATTTTTTTCCGGCGCAACCTGCTATATTGTGAGGTAAAAAAATCTCATAGATTGGCCCTTTTTTTTCTTTCACCGAGTATACGTTTCTCCCTATGTGTGTTGGTGTTTATGGAATACGAAAGAAGTTTATTAAATTCACTTTTTTCCCTTTCCATCCCAAGAAGATGCATTTAAAACATGGTCAATTAATGGGCATGGTCATCAATAAACATGTGCACTACGAAGAGGCATCTTACAGAAATCTAAGGTTCCATGGTATGGAGTGACGCTTTTAGCCACTTCCCCATTTCATCATGCATCAGCTTAGCGGAATTGACAAGGACATGGAATAAATGCACTGCATAAATTAATGGAAATCGGCCACATGACGAGACATACCTGGATTTGAGTCCAGTTCCCGATGCCATTTCTCGACGGCTTCCTTTGAGGCGCAGCAACGAAAATCAGCGTCGGATTTTTGGCATTGGAAGAGGGATGATAAATATTTTCCTTTGATATTCCGACATTTACTTGACAGATAAACTTTCATGCAGTAACCCAAAGGAGGGCTGCAATTCGGGACTTTAAACAATAACGATTTCTTCAGTTGGCAGCAATGTTCTCTCTCGGTGCAATTTGTTCCGTTTTCAACAGTCTCGGGTACACAGGTCCATAGTTCTGACTCGGATACACACTGGTGAACGCAATTCTGCATAGGCGGATGACCTAGAAGGTATTGAGAAAAGGAACATTTTCCGCCAAGGGGTTGGCAAAAAAACACATGTTTACGCTAAATGAATCTGAGAGTTTCAAAATGGATGGTACACATGGTTATCCCCAAAATATTTTCATCACATTCAATCTCACGTTTCCTTGGCTCACAAAACGCAATAAAAGAGCACTTACATGTCGTGTTATAATGATGGTACCTCATCTAACACATAATAGTGACCAGTCACTGTGTAAAAACTTCATATTTCGACTTGTTTTGAGGGTATGTCATAAAACCAAGAGTAATAGAGTAAGAGCAATAAAATATTCTTGAAAATGTTGGGGAAAATATAGCCTCAAAACTTTTCCCTTTAGGAAATGTTTACAGCTGTGCTACGAGTTATAAATAACCCAGCCTATAGATAATATGCAAGCGGAACTTTTGAAGGGAAACAAAACATCTCCATTTCGTTTTACGTTTTCGCTTACGTGAGGCTGGCAATGATGTCCCATAACCAGAGGTAAGTTGATGACATATCGACATATAAATTTTGCTTTGACCGATGCTAGTACAACCAAATTACATTGCGTAATACCTGTGTGCACTATGTTTCCAAATTTAGACAAAATTAGAAAAAAATCCTAGTGTTGCAATATTCGTAAACACTGCGCACTGGTCGCCATGATAGTTACGAAGAGCTGTTGGATCTGTTACATGAGCTGTTGAGACTGAAGGACTGGTTAAAAGGACTGACCGATGATTGGGTCTTCTAACTGGCAACATAGTTCATCGTTTGTGCATCCGTCAAATTTCGTGAGATTCACTGTTTCGTTCTTGCAGAGAGATATTTTCAGATTGCTGACGCACTTATGAGGACACAGATTGCACATTTTCCGGGCCTCTTGAGCTTTTAAAAGCGTTCCTTCCTCACAGGAGCCCTTAACATGTCTACGTAGATGTGGGGCAAGTGCCAGCCATGCCAAGAAGCAGCCACACTGGATGGGATTCCCTGGAAATCAAGTATTTCGAGAAATGCAAAAAGGTGTAAGGCGATTCGGAGGGCTGCTATATTGCGAAAACGTGCACCTCACCGTATAGGTAGAGGGACCCGGTTCCTTTCGCTATAACATCGAGAATAGGGCGAAAGAATTCCTCGTTCAGTTCCGAGATATTGTTTTGGCTTAGGTAAATCTTTGTGTGGAACTGGAGACCTAAAACACATGAGAAATGTCCTGCTAATGTTCGGCTCGTAAATAACTGAAGAATGCGCGTGAGAATATTTCACATTGATGGAAATCAGGAAAAATTGAGGAAATCACATGTAAATGTGAAGTACTTCACATTACTTTTCATATCGTTGAATTTGGCTCCATTGCGGCAAAATGGGAGGCGTTTTGGACTTTTGACGAAATATGTGGATTGTTTACAAAGTTCTGGGAATTTGGGAGCTAAATTTTTTATTATGCTAATTTCTTCGATATTGCAGTGCAATTTTCAACATAATCAACATTTAGCTGTATACATTTTTGTCAGCGAGTAACAATTTTTTTGTCTATCTTCAAATAACCTTTGTGAAGTACGTTCTATCCACTCATTTATCGCTGCTTTAACTTCAGATAGAGACTCAAAATATTGATAGATTCCTCGAAGACGTTTCCTCATTTCCCCAAGCAGATAATAGTCCCTGGAAGACAGGTCTGGAGAATAGGGTGGGTGTGGCAGAAATTCCCTGCGCAGATCTGACAAAACGGCCTTCGATGGACAAGCAGTGCGTGGCCTCCCATTTTCTTGCTGCAGTAATGGTTGGGAATGGAGCTTTCCTGGCCGTTTTTTCTTGAATACCTGACGCAGTGGTCTCTTCAGCAATCAGAGTAATATTGTGCATTTATTGTGGAACCTTTTTGTAGATAATCAAATATGATTATTCCCTCGCAAGCCCAAAACACCGTTATCATAACCTTACCAAATGATGACAGTCCTTGCTTTTAGTGGAGGGCCATCAGAAGTTCGCCGCCATTTCATGGACTGAATTTTTGTTTGTGGATTAAAGTATCCAGGTCTCATCTGTCGGGAGGATGAGTTGCCAGAATCTATCCCCATATTGTTCCTGTAGAGCCAACAACTCGGAACACACCTCCACACCATTGAGTTTATGTTCTGGCAGTAACAGCCACGGTACCCATCGTGCAGAAACCTTGTTCACTCTAAGATGATCATGTAAAATGCCATGTACTTTTTTGGAGTGCTTACACTTGCTGCAACTCGCGAATGGTGATTCATCTGTCTTTCATTAAAATTTTCTTCACAGTGAATACGTTTTCTTCAACAGCAGTGTTTGGTCGACCACTACGGGGGGTCAACTTTAAGGCTCGTTCTTCCATTCTTAAAGCGATCAATCCAACGGTAGACGATATTTTTAAATTCAGAAGATTCTCCAAAAAACAGCTTTCAAACGTTGAATAATTTTAGACGTCCTAATCACCTTCATTCATGAAAAAAAAGATAGCTCTTTGAGAATTTACCGCATCTTCCATGACTGACACTGTGTACCCAGCGCGACAACTTCTTACTGACGCATGCTCAGTGATTCAACATTTTGAAGTCGTGTTTAGGAAAAGCGTAAGTATGTGTGACCAACTTTGCGCTAGGCTTTGATCAGCCGTTGCAGGAACAAAATCCCTTGAACCTATTAAACATCCCTTGTAATTATGGCTGTTCCTATGAAGTTCTCCCGGAACGATACTCAGAAAGATTAGTCTACGGTATACTGCATAAGGCCCTATAACGTCAAACTGGTTCATTTTTTTACATTTATCGAAGTGAATATTGCCTCCAGTTCCATTCTTTCTATTGAAAACGCTCATTCATGAAAATTCGTTCATTCTTCTACTGTTTCCTGGAGTGACTCAAAGGGGACACTGTTTTTCATGTATACGAGTTGAAGATGAATCCAAACAAGAAAACCTCAGTTTGATTTCAGGGAATCTGCCATTTGATCGTCTGGAGATCGACAGTTGCTAAGGTCATACCTCTCATGGCTTCAGGGTCAATTCTGGAGATGTTGTTTCCAAACAATGACACCACCTTCAACGCCCCGCTGCGGAATTCCAAAAGCCCGCTCGAGAGGGTGGGACCCAGACGACAGCTGGAGCATTCGAACATCTCCAGTTTCTTCAAATTTCTGATCATAGCAGAGGGAAACTTCGCCAGGGGATTGTGAGCTGAATGAAACGTGGAACGGAACGAAACACCTGGTTTAACCTGCAATACTCTTTCAGAAAAATAAAGCAAGCATCAAAGACTCTGTCATTTGCAATCTTCATCCGAAGGGAATGAAAGGTCAGTTGGCAACAGAAGCGCGAACTCAAGTCTCTAAAAAAAAAATAAAAGAAGAAAAGATGTGATTCTTTGCAACATGTCCTTTTGGTGAGAAAATGCATCAACAGAATGAGGCAACGACTGTGAAACACGAGGTTACGAGCATGTCTAAGGAGAAAATTCATAGGAAAGCTCCATGTCACGGTATACATCTACTCAATTGCTTTCAGCTCGTGGGTATACGTTCCCAGCCAGTATTCTTTGGAAGCAATGTTCTCTCTCGGTGCAATTTGTTCCGTTTTCAACAGTCTCGGGTACACAGGTCCATAGTTCTGACTCGGATACACACTGGTGAACGCAATTCTGCATAGGCGGATGACCTAGAAGGTATTGAGAAAAGGAACATTTTCCGCCAAGGGGTTGGCAAAAAAACACATGTTTACGCTAAATGAATCTGAGAGTTTCAAAATGTATGGTACACATGGTTATCCCCAAAATATTTTCATCACATTCAATCTCACGTTACCTTGACTCACAAAACGCAATTAAAGAGCACTTACATGTCGTGTTATAATGATGGTACCTCATCTAACACATAATAGTGACCAGTCACTGTGTAAAAACTTCATATTTCGACTTGTTTTGAGGGTATGTCATAAAACCAAGAGTAAGAGCAATAAAATATTCTTGAAAATGTTGGGGAAAATATAGCCTCAAAACTTTTCCCTTTAGGAAATGTTTACAGCTGTGCTACGAGTTATAAATAACCCAGCCTATAGATAATATGCAAGCGGAACTTTTGAAGGGAAACAAAACATCTCCATTTCGTTTTACGTTTTCGCTTACGTGAGGCTGGCAATGATGTCCCATAACCAGAGGTAAGTTGATGACATATCGACATATAAATTTTGCTTTGACCGATGCTAGTGCAACCAAATTACATTGCGTAATACCTGTGTGCACTATGTTTCCAAATTCAGACAAAATTAGAAAAAAATCCTAGTGCTGCAATATTCGTAAACACTGCGCACTGGTCGCCATGATAGTTACGAGGAGCTGTTGGATCTGTTACATGAGCTGTTGAGACTGAAGGACTGGTTAAAAGGACTGACCGATGATTGGGTCTTCTAACTGGCAACATAGTTCATCGTTTGTGCATCCGTCAAATTTCGTGAGATTCACTGTTTCGTTCTTGCAGAGAGATATTTTCAGATTGCTGACGCACTTATGAGGACACAGATTGCACATTTTCCGGGCCTCTTGAGCTTTTAAAAGCGTTCCTTCCTCACAGGAGCCCTTAACATGTCTACGTAGATGTGGGGCAAGTGCCAGCCATGCCAAGAAGCAGCCACACTGGATGGGATTCCCTGGAAATCAAGTATTTCGAGAAATGCAAAAAGGTGTAAGGCGATTCGGAGGGCTGCTATATTGCGAAAACGTGCACCTCACCGTATAGGTAGAGGGACCCGGTTCCTTTCGCTATAACATCGAGAATAGGGCGAAAGAATTCCTCGTTCAGTTCCGAGATATTGTTTTGGCTTAGGTAAATCTTTGTGTGAAACTGGAGACCTAAAACACATGAGAAATGTCCTGCTAATGTTCGGCTCGTAAATAACTGAAGAATGCGCGTGAGAATATTTCACATTGATGGAAATCAGGAAATATTGAGGACATCACATGTAAATATGAAGTACTTCACATTACTTTTCATATCGTTGAATTTGGCTCCATTGCGGCAAAATGGGAGGCGTTTTGGACTTTTGACGAAATATGAGGGTTGTTTATAAAGTTCTGGGAATTTGCGAGCTAAATTTTTTATTATGCTAATTTCTTCGATATTGCAGTGCAATTTTCAACATAATCAACATTTAGCTGTATACATTTTTGTCAGCGAGTAACAATTTTTTTGTCTATCTTCAAATAACCTTCGTGAAGTACGTTCTATCCACTCATTTATCGCTGCTTTAACTTCAGATAGAGACTCAAAATATTGATAGATTCCTCGAAGACGTTTCCTCATTTCCCCAAACAGATAATAGTCCCTGGAAGACAGGTCTGGAGAATAGGGCGGGTGTGGCAGCAATTCCCAGCGCAGATCTGACAAAACGGCCTTCGATGGACAAGCAGTGCGTGGCCTCGCATTTTCTTGCTGCAGTAATGGTTGGGAATGGAGCTTTCCTGGCCGTTTTTTCTTGAATACCTCACGCAATGGTCTCTTCAGCAATCAGAGTAATATTGTGCATTTATTGTGGAACCTTTTTGTAGATAGTCAAACATGATTTTTCCCTCGCAAGCCCAAAACACCGTTATAACCTTACCAAATGATGACATAGTCCTTGCTTTTAGTGGAGGGCCATCAGAAGTTCGCCGCCATTCCATGGACTGAATTTTTGTTTGTGGATTAAAGTATCCAGGTCTCATCTGTCGTGAGGATGAGTTGCCAGAATCTATCCTCATATTGTTCCTGTAGAGCCAACAACTCGGAACACACCTCCACACCATTGAGTTAATGTTCTGGCAGTAACAGCCACGGTACCCATCGTGCAGAAACCTTGTTCACTCCAAGATGATCATGTAAAATGCCATGTACTTTTTTGGAGTGCTTACACTTGCTGCAATCTCGCGAATGGTGATTCATCTGTCTTTCATTAACATTTTATTCACATTGAATACGTTTTCAACAGTAGTGTTTGGTCGACCACTGCGGGGGGTCAATTTCAAGGCTCGTTCTTCCATTCTTAAAGCGATCAATCCAACGGTAGACGGTATTTTTAAATTCAGAAGATTCACCAAAAAACAGCTTTCAAACGTTGAATAATTTCTGACGTCCTAACACCTTCATTCATGAAAAGAAAATGATAGCTCTTTGAGAATTTACCGCATCTTCCATGACTGACACTGTGTACCCAACGCCACAACTTCTTACTGACGCATGCTCAGTGATTCAACATTTTGAAGTTGTGTTTAGGAAAAGCCTAAGTATGTGTGACCAACTTTGCGCTAGGCTTTGATCAGCCGTTGCAGGGATAGAACAAAATCCCTTAAACCTGGTAAACATCCCTCGTAATTATGGCTGTTCCTATGGAGTTCTCCCGGAACGATACTCAGAAAGATTAGTCTACGGTATACTGCATAAGGCCCTATAACGTCAAACTGGTTACATTTTTTTACATTTACCGAAGTGAATATTGCCTCCAGTTCCATTCTTTCTATTGAAAACGCTTATTCGTGAAAATCCGTTCATTCCTCTACTGTTTCCTGGAGTGACTCAAAGGGGACACTGTTTTTCATGTATACGAGTTGAAGATGAATCCAAACAAGAAAACCTCAGTTTAATTTCAGGGAATCTGCCATTTGATCGTCTGGAGATGGACAGTTGCTAAAGTCATACCTCTCATGGCTTCAGGGTCAATTCTGGAGATGTTGTTTCCAAACAGTGACACCACCTTCAACGCCCCGCTGCGGAATTCCAAAAGCCCGCTCGAGAGGGTGGGACCCAGACGACAGCTGGAGCATTCGAACATCTCCAGTTTCTTCAAATTTCTGATCATGGCAGAGGGAAACTTCGCCAGGGGATTGTGAGCTGAATGAAACGTGGAACGGAACGAAACACCTGGTTTAACCTGCAATACTCTTTCAGAAAAATAAGCAAGCATCAAAGACTCTGTCATTTGCAATCTTCATCCGAAGAGAATGAAAGGTCAGTTGGCAACAGAAGCGCGAACTCAAGTCTCTAAAAAAAAATAAAAGAAGAAAAGATGTGATTCTTTGCAACATGTCCTTTTGGTGAGAAAATGAATCAACAGAATGAGGCAAAGACTGTGAAACACGAGGTTACGAGCATGTCTAAGGAGAAAATTCATAGGAAAGCTCCATGTCACGGTATACATCTACTCAATTGCTTTCAGCTCGTGGGTATACGTTCCCAGCCAGTATTCTTTGGATTGTGCTTGATGGATGTCGAACATCGCATAACGTATGAATGTGTTTCTTACACCTTCTAACCATTCTCATGACTTGCAAAAGCTAATACATTAATATCAGGTTTCAAACTGCGTTATTTTGCGGGATGATCCAATAAGCCTGACGTGAGATGATCAATGAAATAGAACATTCTGTAAAAGTACAACAGGTATTCCTCGTCGCAATCCCTGTTGATTGACCTTGTCATCCATTTTTGTCTTTCGATATCAAGAATATCAAAGCCTTCGGGTTCCTTTCCTCTTTCTCAAATTGTATTAATTATTTTTTTTTTCATTTTTCCTTTTTCCATTCGTACTCATGATTATGCAATATTTCACCTTCTCCAATTGACGTTTTCCTTTCAGGCCCAATGCTTACTTTCACCGGCAAATATTTATCCATAAAGAGGCGCTGACACCTTTTGTAATTCGTTTTGAAATGTTGCCTACATTTTTGGAAATAACTGAGCCGCCTGATGAGATATAGGTTGGTGACAAGATACCTTCCTTGCTTTTGCAACCAACCGTTCATTTCTTTTTAAAGACTCGACACGTAAATGTTACGAGAACTCCGTATTCATTGGGATGGTGTGAGGATATCAAGGGAGAGCCGGAATTCTAGAGAACGGAATCACTTACTCATCGTCGCTTGAAAGAAAATGTTTTCCACTCACACATAAAAAGGTACTTCAAGTTGGGAGTCTCCCAACCATCTTCATCCACTTTTGAGATGTTATTATTGTAAAATGAGAAGTCCTCAAGACTAGCACACCGAACTGCTGGGACCGATGTCAAGGAATTGTTATTGAGGGAGAGTTTCTTGAGTTGGGAGAATTCGTCAAGAATTTGAAACGGAAAATCCTCCAGGCGACTGTCAGAAATGCTCATCCACTTGAGCCGGTCCTTCGAAGGGAGAATGGCAGTCTCATTTATTCTCTGCACGGCAGTGTCTTCGATCCATATTTTCTCGAAAGAAACATTCCCAAAGACTCCGTAGGGGAGTTCCTTTACCATTGTGTTGTCTTTCAGCTCAAATTTCCTGCAAAGCGAATAACATTAAATAACTAATTTCGCTATCATTAACATGTTCACAGAAGTAACAAGATGTACTTGAATGCATATCGATATACAGGGACATATAAACAAATACGTGTTATGGTAGCACTGGAGATACCAGCATTAGGTTCCATTGGTATGCCGTTGCCACTTGTGAATGAAGACACTAACAGAAATTGGAAAAAACTTTGAAGAGTTAAAATTCGAAAATGAATTTTTCGCACCAAAGTTGAATGGAGATCCCATAGCCATTCCTGAAAGCAGATGAGATCTGTTGCCCAGTGGTAGCTCGGGAACACTTGACTTCAGATGGAAACCTTCTACAGGTGCAGGGCAATATGTCTTGGTTGGGGCACACCTGCTCAAACGCCTTGGAGGATAAGGAGAGGAAAATTGGGAATAGGAATGTGAATGATGGGTACATAATTGGGTGAGTTGGTTTGGGGGATTGCGTTGGGACTCTTCAGGTTCCTTCATGAGATGATGACGTGGGGTTCACATATCCCCAGAAGCCTATTCAGAGGAGAGGGTATGCATATGTGTCACATTGTCAAAAACTCTCCTTAAGAATAGTCAATGCATAAATATATTGACTCCTGATCAAAACTTTTACAAGATGTTAAAGGGGTATGTTATGTATATCCAAGAGGGCCAACTGGCTTAAAACATTCTCGGGCCCTTTTACCCGCCTGACAGGTTCACCTTTTCTCTTAGATATGATGAGAAGGATGTCTCTCGCATCTCCTTCCGCTTTCCAATCAAACAATACCCAGATCAGATAGCTATTAAAATGATGTGTTCTGATTGGAGTTAAGAGGGACAGTATATTTCTATTGTATATATGAAGGGACATTTTCCCTTTCAGAAAATAAGTCGTTCGTGAGCCGAATTCGGGATGGATAGGGGCCGCAGGTTCGAACTTTTGATATTCGAAAGAAGAGATTCTTCCATCGATCTGTTGGAACCATTCCTTCAGTGGGGAAGGCGGAAATGTTGAAATACATTTTGAGAACTCTGCGAGGATGAGGCGTAGGTAGAATACTTGGGAACTTGAATACCTACATTACTTGCGAGCCTATCTTCCTAGGTGATGCAAATCATCTCTAAGATTGTTTGTATCCTTCACTCGCCTTTGAAGATGGTCAGATCTCCCAGTACTTCAGTTTGCGACTGATTTTGTCCAAGGATGAGTGGACGAAGGCCTAAGAAACTAAAAGTAACTCTTTGCTTGAGAATCCAGTTCAAAGAGTCCATTGATGAAGTCCTTACCTTGGTTTTTCATATTTTTGAAAACATGAACGAAAAAGGAAACTGAACCTGCAAGAATGAAACGAAGAGTGACGGGTTACCATAACATGAATGGAAAGAAACGGGTTAGAACCTTCACTAGAAGATTTCTCTGATGAGTTTCTACATTGACGCATACAACACCATCCAATGAGGGTCCCATTTTCGTAAGATCTGTCTCATTCTTCCACTCCCCTCTCGCAACGAACTGGAGGGCTAACCTTCATGTGTATGTGACTGCGATGTGGCAGTTGAACTGTCTTAAGCCGTTCACATCCAACTTTGGATATCAATTTAAGTTTCGCATAAAAAGCTCCCTGGGCACTAGGTTACCCACCCCCACATTTTGTTCGCTTTAAATATTTTTCATAAAAAAAACTAAGCTACGTTTAATGTTACTAGAATGTAAATAATTTCAATCATTGGTTTTTTCCTTATTCATATAGCATGTATATGAATTTCAAAGTTATTTCGATCGTATTTTTATCAGGAATTTTCATTTAAAAGTTTCCTTAGAAAATGCATTGAAAACGTGTCCTTTTTACTTATCACAGGATTTTCAAATCTTCGGAATGTTTAAGCATCAGTTTGCTAGATCTTTTGGAATACTTTTGGCGATTTTTTGTGCCTTGCCGAACCGTTAAAATACTATCTTTNNAATATTTCACCTTCTCCAATTGACGTTTTCCTTTCAGGCCCAATGCTTACTTTCACCGGCAAATATTTATCCATAAAGAGGTGCTGACACCTTTTGTAATTCGTTTTGAAATGTTGCCTACATTTTTGGAAATAACTGAGCCGCCTGATGAGATATAGGTTGGTGACAAGATACCTTCCTTGCTTTTGCAACCAACCGTTCATTTCTTTTTAAAGACTCGACACGTAAATGTTACGAGAACTCCGTATTCATTGGGATGGTGTGAGGATATCAAGGGAGAGCCGGAATTCTAGAGAACGGAATCACTTACTCATCGTCGCTTGAAAGAAAATGTTTTCCACTCACACATAAAAAGGTACTTCAAGTTGGGAGTCTCCCAACCATCTTCATCCACTTTTGAGATGTTATTATTGTAAAATGAGAAGTCCTCAAGACTAGCACACCGAACTGCTGGGACCGATGTCAAGGAATTGTTATTGAGGGAGAGTTTCTTGAGTTGGGAGAATTCGTCAAGAATTTGAAACGGAAAATCCTCCAGGCGACTGTCAGAAATGCTCATCCACTTGAGCCGGTCCTTCGAAGGGAGAATGGCAGTCTCATTTATTCTCTGCACGGCAGTGTCTTCGATCCATATTTTCTCGAAAGAAACATTCCCAAAGACTCCGTAGGGGAGTTCCTTTACCATTGTGTTGTCTTTCAGCTCAAATTTCCTGCAAAGCGAATAACATTAAATAACTAATTTCGCTATCATTAACATGTTCACAGAAGTAACAAGATGTACTTGAATGCATATCGATATACAGGGACATATAAACAAATACGTGATATGGTAGCACTGGAAATACCAGCATTAGGTTCCATTGGTATGCCGTTGCCACTTGTGAATGAAGACACTAACAGAAATTGGAGAAAACTTTGAAGAGTTAAAATTCGAAAATGAAATTTTCGCACCAAAGTTGAATGGAGATCCCATAGCCATTCCTGAAAGCAGATGAGATCTGTTGCCCAGTGGTAGCTCGGGAACACTTGACTTCAGATGGAAACCTTCTGCAGGTGCAGGGCAATATGTCTTGGTTGGGGCACACCTGCTCAGACGCCTTGGAGGATAAGGAGAGGAGAATTAGGAATAGGAATGTGAATGATGGGTACATAATTGGGTGAGTTGGTTTGGGGATTGCGTTGGGACTCTTCAGGTTCCTTCATGAGATGATGACGTGGGGTTCACATATCCCCAGAAGCCTATTCAGAGGAGAAGGTATGCATATGTGTCACATTGTCAAAAACTCTCCTTAAGAATAGTCAGTGCATAAATATATTGACTCCCGATCAAAACTTTTACAAGATGTTAAAGGGGTATGTTATGTATATCCAAGAGGGCCAACTGGCTTGAAACATTCTCGGGCCCTTTTACCCGCCTGACAGGTTCACCTTTTCTCTTAGATATGATGAGAAAGATGTCTCTCGCATCTCCTTCCGCTTTCCAATCAAACAATACCCAGATCAGATAGCTATTAAAATGATGTGTTCTGATTGGAGTTAAGAGGGACAGTATATTTCTATTGTATATATGAAGGGACATTTTCCCTTTCAGAAAATAAGTCGTTCGTGAGCCGAATTCGGGATGGATAGGGGCCGCAGGTTCGAACTTTTGATATTCGAAAGAAGAGATTCTTCCATCGATCTGTTGGAACCATTCCTTCAGTGGGGAAGGCGGAAATGTTGAAATACATTTTGAGAACTCTGCGAGGATGAGGCTTAGGTAGAATACTTGGGAACTTGAATACCTACATTACTTGCGAGCCTATCTTCGTAGGAGATGCAAATCATCTCTAAGATTGTTTGTATCCCTCACTCGCCTTTGAAGATTGTCAGATCTCCCAGTACTTCAGTTTGCGACTGATTTTGTCCAAGGGTGAGTGGACGAAGGCCTAAGAAACTAAAAGTAACTCTTTGCTTGAGAATCCAGTTCAAAGAGTCCATTGATGAAGTCCTTACCTTGGTTTTTCATATTTTTGAAAACATGAACGAAAAAGGAAACTGAACCTGCAAGAATGAAACGAAGAGTGACGGGTGACCATAACATGAATGGAAAGAAACGGGTTAGAACCTTCACTAGAAGATTTCTCTGATGAGTTTCTACATTGACGCATACAACACCATCCAATGAGGGTCCCATTGTCGTAAGATCTGTCTCATTCTTCCACTCCCCTCTCGCAACGAACTGGAGGGCTAACCTTCATGTGTATGTGACTGCGATGTGGCAGTTGAACTGTCTTAAGCCGTTCACATCCAACTTTAGATATCAATTTAAGTTTCGCATAAAAAGATCCCTGGGCACTAGGTTACCCACCCCCACATTTTGTTCGCTTTAAATATTTTTCATAAAAAAACTAAGCTACGTTTAATGTTACTAGAATGTAAATAATTTAAATCATTGGTTTTTTCCTTATTCATATAGCATGTATATGAATTTCCAAGTTATTTCGATCGTATTTTTATCAGGAATTTTCATTTAAAAGTTTTCTTAGAAAATGCATTGAAAACGTGTCCTTTTTACTTATCACAGGATTTTCAAATCTTCGGAATGTTTAAGCATCAGTTTGCTAGATCTTTTGGAATACTTTTGGCGATTTTTTGTGCCTTTCCGAACCGTTAAAATACTATCTTTTATATTGCAATTTGGTATAAGGCAGTTTCATAAATAAAGTGACACCAGAATGAAACTTCAATTCTTATCCCGTTGAATTTTATAGTGGAAGCACTTTCGAAGTCCCACAAATCTTTTTTCAAACTCGGACTCGGTTGAGTTCTTCATCTATATGATGTTTCGAGAAACATATCATATTAACGAATTTGCTTGCCATTTGCGCAAACAAACTGTTGTTGCGCAAACCGCAGGTGCGGCTCAGGTCGAGACAGGAATTCTTTAATACCCTAAAATTAAGGAACTCTCCACCTCGACACGTGATATCGAAATGGGCGAAATCGCCTCTTGATATCACTATCTTGAATCTTGAATCTTTAATCAAACACGCCATCGACGCGCCTTCGGTACTCTATTAACAAAGGAAATTATTTATGCATTTGAAGCATTCCTTTTCGAACCTCAACGCTAATGATGCGGTGAAGCCCCTTGGTTCATGGGTTTGGCAAATCTCGCGCCCTTGTCTCGCTTCCGTTAAGATTGAGGTTGGGTTTTAAGTTCATAAAAGGTGAATCTATTCAAAAAATTTTCTCGTTACTACATATTGAATGTACTCCCTGCCTTTGGTCATCCCATTCTGCATATGATTAGATCTTCACCTCAATTTCAGGACGGAAACAAATAATAGGTTAAATGGATTATTCCACCAACGGCTACATTAGTTCTTGGATTAAACGAGGGGTGTCCAACTGGTTGGACGCCCTTCGTTCGGACACCCCTGGGTTAAACTCTTCTTTAAGGAAACGAGCTACTGCACCTCTCCAGTGAAAACGAGCAGAAACCAAAATAAGGAATGTCGTGTTCTAATTTGGGGATACATATTCTAGGTAATTAAAATTTGTAATGGATTTCGTGAAAAAGTATTTCTGACGTAAAAAGTATTACCTGATTCCAATCCGAATGAATCTCAGTCCATCAAGCTTTCTATGAAAACACGCATGTTACGACTGGCGTCGAGTTAAATATATTGGTTCAAATTCTTTTTCACGGCTTCGTTGCTGAGGAGAAGTTTTCTCGGCATGTACACCGTTTAAAATTATTCATAAATATTTTATAAAACAAAGTGAATATTCGCGTCGAGGAAACTTCATTGAACACGAATGACGAAACCTTCACCCAGTTTCTTCTAACCAAGCAACGCACAACAGTGAGATGCTTCTAGGAACCTTGACACAGGCGATATGGAGCTGGAGACTGCTTGAGATGAATGAATCGTAGCGTGCCTCTGCCTGCATGACTGACAGAGCCACTTCCCAGCCGTGCCTGCTCAATATCCACTGGGCATCGATTACGTGCAAGGAAAGGAATGGTGAAGGTCGTGGGGTTGAAAAGCTGTAAGGTTCAGTCGTCCACGCGGGCATGAATGGAACACTTTTCCCCAAAAAATCTTCGAGTCTTCTGAGAAGACAGAGTGAATCAGATGACGATACTGCAAGAAGTCGGTCTTCTCTGAAGCCTTGCCTTGCGTGTTTACATAGTTTCGGAAGAAGGACTGCTTTTTGTTTATTTGCTAGTGACACAGTGAAGCGAATTCCAGGTAATCCATGAAGAAAGCCAGGAGAAGATATGAGAGTTTTTTTTTAAAGAGGCTATTAGAAGTTGAGCACTTTCCGATCCAACGTCAACTGCTCTGAGGCATTTCTATGCGGTACAAATTCGTGCGCGTTTGTTGCACAATTTTCGGAATCAACTTGGAACTTCGATTTGCTAATGCCTTTTTTAACATCCTCACTCTCGCTGGGACTCTCGGTACTCCTCCACGACTTCAATTTATAAAAACTATTGAATGGTTAGTTGTACTGAAGGTAAATGATAGAACAAGTACACTATAAGTAGAACATTTTCGCCGATTCCAACTGGCAAAAATTGCAAGCCCATCGGGTATTTCTGAGAGAACCAGGAAAACACACCACAATCCTACAGATCACTCCTTGATACAAATAAATAAATTTCTGAATAGGATACCAAACGGATCTAAGAGCAAAGCCACGGGAGTATTCCAGACGAGAGCGAGAAAGAGACAAAGCTGAGAAGGGTTAACCGCGTAGCACTCATGTTATCAATGGAAGTGGCATTCAAGACCTGCAACAGATCAAACAGTTGTTTGACACGAGGGTGCTTTTCTCACACCAGCCCCATCATAAAGGCCACAAACCATGATGACTCGATGCAAATATTTTCGACTGCTGAGTCCAAAGAATTTTACCAAAAATCGGCAAGAGGAATTCCGAGTGCTCGTTATTTTAGGATTTTTCCGTACAAATGAACACTCTCACGTTCATCCTCCTGGTATAAATGACATGAAACAAGTATTTATGCCATGGATTTCCGGTGGAAACGTTGGCATATAAGGCCTGGACTCAGGCATATTATGGAAGGGTTGTAAGGAAAGTTAGCTTTGAAAGCGGTGGGAAAACAAGGAAGACCTATCATGGTTCCGCCCTGCCCTTGAAAATAAATCTAAAGGTTTAGGTACTGGAAATATTTTTATTTTAATATGAACTGGAAATATTAGCTCCATATTTATGGAGCTAAAATTGCAAACAATAATATTGCCTATATAGGCAATTCCATGGTTATGCAGTAAACTGCCCCCAACCAAGACGCGCAGATAGAGTAAAATAACCTATTTTTGGCCCGATTCTGGTCGAAAGCACCAAAGGGCAGCAAGAACCCCCCCCCCCCCTCCCGAGAAGTCTGAAAACAGAGGTCACCATCCCTGTGAACCTAAAAACCCATATATACCATGAGTTGCTTAATTCAATGCGAATTCGTTGACAATGTCGGACATCATATTAGTGAAACTTACATTAAAAACAAGTACTTTATATTGGGGTTGTGCGTAATTGAAGGTGCAAGCATTGTAGGTATAAAAAAAAGAAAGTCTAAGAACTTATCCACCACATAGGTAAGTTTTGAACAGACATCAGTAAAATATAATACATAAGTAAAAATGTGATATATGTTTGCCCAGTCTTTTTCTGAATCGGATAGTAGTGTGTCAATGTGCTTAAGAAATTACGATTTTAGAATTTATCCAGTAGAATTCATTTTGAGTAATTAAAAAAGTGTTTTATTTTTTCAAAGCTATATATTTATCTTTCTAAGATATCCTATGATTTAACAGGAGAAGAGGGGAATCATAGGGGAGTGAAAGTGAAATAGGAAGTATGCCGATATCGACTCCCATATGAATACGAAGATAAGATTAACTACTTGTACTAGGTTGTCGGACCAATATTGTTCATTGTGTGCCAAGAACAACGGAGTGCAAATGGTTAAATAGCTTCTCTACATGTTGGAATGAAGATAGTGAAAGGATTGTGTTTCAGGGTGATTATTCATTGTGCCATTCTGAAACACTATGGAAGAATCTCAATCCAGAAGGTAGGATATCCCGAAGATTTATCAATAGTTTATAGCTTGTCGAAATGAAACACTTCACCC